GCGTCGTCGCTGCTGCTGCTTTCCTGACGAGGTGCTTGGGTGGTCGTGCGGTCGTCCGCGTGGTCCTGGGCGCTGCTCGTCGGGGCCGATCGGCGGGTAGCGCGTCGCCTTGGTGTCCTGATGATCATGCGGAGCATGCGTCGTTGTGGTCGCCGCGGGTGTTGCCGGAGAGGTTCCGTGAGCGTCCACGTCTCTGCTCCGTAGAGTGTTGCGGGTGTCACTGTCCGTTTGAAAAGCCGGAGTCGGTGTGCCAGAGGGTAGTGCTTGCTTGTCAGCTCCTGTTTGCGCGAAGTGAACCTTGCCCATGCTGCCCTCGTGCGGTGGCGGGTTTCAGTCTCCATCGCGTCGTGGAAGCTGATGAGTTGACCCAAGTATTTGATGCTGCCATCGTGGGGAAAGATGTAGATGTCCATGTCCTGAAGGTACACGGTGCGCGAGCTTGCCCTGCCAGTCCGTCTGGTCTGGTTGCTGAGTATTTTGGTTTTGGAAGGTGTAGCTCAAGTCCGTGAGATCGCATCGCACTGCGCGCGCGATGTCGTCGAGCATCGCGGTGAGGCGCGGAAGTGTTTGGCTGGTCAGGAGCACGTCGTCGGCGAAGCGGAGGTTAGTGAGTGCGGAGGTGGTGGCGAATCCTAGCTGGACTCCCTTGCCCTTCTTGTGCCAGTCGGTGATTAGTGGTGCAAGAATATGCCGCAGCAAAGCGTTGAAAAGTAAGGAAATGAACGGATCGCCCGCTGTCGTCACGGTCATTCCCAAAAGTGGGAATCTTACACTTCCGCAAAACTATCGGCCCATATGCACAATACCAATACTTTACAAGCTTTTCAGTAGACTTCTCTACAACAGGTTCCAACCAACACTCGACTCCCAAACAGACTGCAGACCAGGCCGGCTTCAGGCCAGGACACTCGACCACCGACCGTTTGTTCGCTTTCCACATCCTCCGTGAGCGCGCGCACAGATGGAACCAGAACTTGTGGATAGCGGCACTAGACTTCAAGAAAGCTTTTGACAAAGTCGAGCACAATAGCATGTGGGCAGCACTGGGGGCGCAGGGCGTCCAACGAGGATACATCTCACTACTCCAACAGCTGTACGAGGGGCAGACGGCCACGGCCAAGACTGACGTCAGTAGCAGGTCCTTCAGTCTCCACCATATCCCAGCGTCGTGGAACAAGAACGAAGCGCGGGTTCACACTGTTTTCGGGGCCCTGGACCCCCGCAGAACGCTCTGGCTCCACAGAAGCCGCAGACGGATAGGGTCGAGAGCTCTGGCCGGCCGCAAAAATGTGCTGCGACCCAGGCCGTTCAACCAGAGATGCAGCCGGCCCCTCGCCAGGCGCTCCAGATCCACCAAGAGCGCAGCCAGTGAGCAACCTCTGCAAACTCGCTTCGTCCGGCGGCTCGGATGCCACCCGTGGCGGTGACCGGGTGCGTTCTGACCAGAATTTCGAAGCGAATCCAGAGGTGGCGACGAGGGCCCCAGGAGGCCCCGAAGGGGAAAACGAGGGAAGGGTAGAGGTATGGGTACCTGTTGCTCCTCTGAACAACTCGGGAACCTCTGAGAGCTCTCTGTTGTGGAGGAGGCGGGGGCGGACACCACGCTGGCACCAAGAGGCGGAGGCCAGCCAAGGCTTCCTCCCAAGAAGGACGGGGCTGAGAGGCGAATCGATTCGGCGTGCAGGGATGAAGCCTCCTCCTGGCCTGCTCCTTCCTCATCCTCCTCAAGTCCTCCCGCCCGCCTCCTCCTCCTCCTCCGCCTCCTCCTCCTCCTCCTCCTCCTCTTCATCACCATCATCATCATCATCATCATCATCATCATCATCATCATCATCATCATCATCATCATCATCATCAGCAGCAGCAGCAGCAGCAGCAGCAGCAGCACCAGCACCAGCACCAGCACCAGCACCAGCATCATCATCATCATCATCATCATCATCATCATCACCAACACCAACACCATCATCATAATCAGCATCATCACCATCATCATCAGCAGCAGCAGCAGCACCAGCACCAGCACCAGCATCATCATCATCAGCATCATCTTCATCATCATCATCGTCATCATCATCATCATCATCATCATCGGCATCTTCACCATCAGCATCATCATGATCATCATCACAGTCATCGTCATCAGCATCAGCATCATCATAATAAGCATCATCATGATCAGCATCAGCGTCGGCATCACCATCAGCATCAGCATAATGCGCATCACCAGCATCATCATCAGCATCATCAGCATCATCAGCAGCATCAGCATCAGCATCATCAGCATCATCATCAGCATCAGCATCATCAGCATCGTCATCATCAGCATCACCATCAGCGTCATCAGCAGTAGCATCATCATCATCATCCTCTTCCTCATCCTCGTCTTAACCATCACCATCATCATCACCGCCATCGTCCTGCTCAGCATCATCATCATCAGCATTATACTCATCAGCGTCGTCATCATCATCATCAGCACTATCATCACCATCATCATCATCATCATCATCATCATCATCATCATCCTCATCATCCTCATCATCATCAGCATCAGCATCATCATCATCATCATCATCATCATCATCATCATCATCATCATCATCATCATCATTATCATTATCATTATCATTATCAGTATCATCACCATCATCAGCATCATCATCACCATCCTCATCCTCATCGTCATCATCGTCATCGTCATCAGCATAAGCATCATCAGCATCATCATCATCATCATCATCAGCAGCATCATCATTACCAGTATGATTATCATATTGAGTTGTATGCTTAATGTCCAAAGTATAACCCTCACCATCACCCTTACCACCACGGTCATCCTCGTCCGCAGCATCAGCATCAGCAAATTCATCATCATCATCATCAGCATCATCATCATCGTCATCACCGTCATCATCATCATCATCATCAGCACCATCATCAGCACCATCATCAGCACCATCATCATCAGCAGCAGCAGGATCATCACCATCGTCGTCATCATCATCATATTCATCAGCATCATCATCAGCATAATCATCGTCATCATCATCATCGTCATCATAAGCATCATCATAATCATCATAATCATCACCATCGTCAACGTCATCGTCATCGCCATCGCCATCATCACCACCTCCTCCTCCTCCTAATCACCCCCCCCCTCCGCCTCTATCCCCTCCTCCCCCATTGTGTCCTCCTCCATCTACTTTTCCTTCTCCATCTCACCCCACATCCTATTCATCCTCACCCTCCCTCCTCGTCGTCCTCGTCCTTCTCCTTGTCCTCCCCCTCCTCCTCCTCGTCATCACTCTCCTCCTTCGCCTCTCCTCCTTCCCCTCCTTCCCCTCCTCCTGATTCTCCTCCTCCTCCTGCTCCCAAGTGTCCGAAGTAGCCGAGGGGAGCGCGTCATCTCCATCTTGTCCGTAGCCTGGAGGTCTGCCTGCACGGCGCGGCGGGACAGAGGCGCACACGCGAGCGGAAGGCCGACGCGGGCGAGCTCGAAGGAAGGTGCCCTGCACTAACAGCTGAAGCCGACGCAGAGGACAAGAAAGCAGGAGGTAGCGGGGGGACCAGCAAGGAAGAGCAGGAAAGCAGGAGAAAGCAGGAAGCAGGAGGAAAGCGGGAAGAGGGAGGAGGAGAAAGCAGGAAGGGGGAAGAGGAAAGCAGGAAGGGGGACCAGCGGGAGGACAAGAAAGCAGGAGAAAGCAGGAAGAGGGGCGAAGGAGGTTAATTCTGGAGCAGCAGCCAGACAAGACAGTAGGAGGGGGAGGAGGGCAGAGGAAAGGAGAGGGGAAGGAAGGGGGCAGGGCAGGGAGGGAGAGGGAGGATGAGATGCTACAGAGTGCTACAGGTAATCGTCTTCATCATCGTGATTTGCAATGTGCTCCCCAATGTTTCGCCAGTCGATGGGGTCCTGCAGGCGCTGGGACCGAGTGTGTTCCTGTACAAGATGATCAGCGAACATGTTGTGTAGACGCTTCCCCCATTCGTGCTTAGGTCTGCGTTCGCCCAGTCGTGTAGAAGAGGGAAGGAAGGACGGGCGGAAAACGACGCGCTGGCGAACGAAGAGAGTCTACGCCATCATCATCTGATTGGCGGAAATGCTAAGATGTGGAGTGGACCGTTTGGACACGTCAAACAGAAAGGAGGTGGAGTGAGAATAGACGGCAGGGGCATCAGGGCCACTGGAACACGTCCCCGACCAGCGCTTGCATCTACTCAGGGATTCTTGCGAGCCTGTTGCTTGCGCCGCGGCGGCGGGTGAGCCTTTGGGCCTGTGCAGCGGACGGGGCCCCGCAAAAGGAAACTCGGAGCGGTGGGGGATTCGAGGTTTCGCCTGGTTCCCGCCCGTGGGCGCCTCATAGGCGCCCCGCGCTGGAGGGGGGGGATGTCGAGGTTTCGCCTGGTGCCCGCCCGTGGGCGCCTCATGGGCTCACACCATGTAGCTTACACCGCATGGCTTACAAACACCAGTGATCACACATCATAGCTCACATCGCATAGCTCACACCATATAGCGAACACAGCATAGCTCACACCGCATAACTCACACCACACAGCTGACACCACATATCTCACGCCACAGAGCTCGTATCGCATAGTTTACACCGTATAGATCTCAACTCCACACTGAAGTGACACTGTTTGGGGTCCACACTGTCGAACACGCCACAAAGATGTATAAGTGTATGAATATACACAACGACATATACATATACATGTGCATGTGCAGATCTTTCTATATTGACACATGAGTATGCGACATGTGCCAATCTACATATGAATATACGTATGTGTAAAAATATGTGTCTCCAAATGGGCATATATGTGGGTATACCTACATATGTGTACACATATGCATGTGTATATATATGTGTATATATGCATATGTGTACGTATGAATGCACGTATATACAATGCTCAAATATGTGACCGGCTTGTACACGTGCCCACCCAACCCACCCAAACAACAGCGGAAGGCGTGAGCCTTGACGGAAGGACACCTGTTTTGCACGAGCGACCAGACGCGACATCCATCTCGATGTGTCCACTGGAGGCTTCGCTCTCGGGCCTCACGGGCCCTGTCAACTTATGAAACTTAGAGCGGCTCACTCTCCTCATCGAATGCTAATATAGAAAGACATGCACGGTATATGTATACGTACAGCATATATACCAGAATGTCTTTTGTCACTACTCAACTCTCTTCAACAAAAACGTGCGAATCATCCTGCGATGATGGCTGCGATACCCCCCGTCACTGCAGCCAGGCAAGGCGGGCACAGGGTGAAACACTGAGCCCCGTGAGAGTACAGGTCACGATACTAGGGAAAGAAGCTTCGTGGCGTAAACCCCGAACTAGTTTCGATCACAAGGGTACTAAAGGAAGCCGGGAAACAACTATGGAAAACGGGGTACAGATGCTCACAAACATGAATCTCCATTATCCGAGAGCTTATTCATCCATAATGTTCCGATATGTGACCGGCATATACATGTGCCCGCCCAGCCCACCCAAGCACCAAGGGAAGGCGTCAGCCTTAATGGAATCTGTTTTGCACAAGCGACCAGATGCGATCCGCCGGCCCCCCTGTGGGGCCACCAGGCTGTAGGATGAAATGTGTTGCTCAGTCTTCGATGTTTCAATCCTACCTTCTGCTTCCTACTGTAAATTGTTGAAATCCACGCGAGGGGGGGAGCCCCAAGGGACCCGGTTACCACGCCAGGATCGCGTGCTCTGAATTCCCGATTACGCAATATTCGCGTCCCCGAGGCCACAACCCTTCGTAACTTACACAATGATTGCGTCCCCGAGGCAAAACCTTCGCAAATTACATTATATTCGTGTCCCCGTAGCCAGAAACCTTTGCACATTACATTAGATTTGCATTGCCGAGACCAAGAGTGCGCCAAGGCTCCCGAAGATGGTTCCAAGAGGGCCCAAAGAGGCCCCAAGAGCGCTCCAAGAGGCCTCCCGAGAGAGAGACCAAAAGAGGCCAAAATCATAGATTTGGCCTTCTCGCATTTTATGATTTTGGATCTTGGCCTTCTCGCATTTTCGGATGTTCGACGCTCCAAGACGGCTCTAGAAGCTCCCAAGACCGTCCCAAGACAGCCCAAGACGCCTCCAAGATGGCCCCAAGACGGCCCAAGAGGGCTCCAAGATGGCCCAAGAAGCTCCCAAGAGGGCCCCAAGACGACCCTAAGAGGGGCCCAAGCAGAGCACCACGAACCGAGCATTCGATACTTGTGCCCCGAAAAGCCCCAAGGAGGCCCGAAGAGGCCGCCAAAAGGCCCCAAGAGGCCCCAAGAGGCCCCAACACGCGCCCAAGAGGCCTCCAAGATGCCAAAATATACCCCACGAGGCCCCAAGAGGCCCCGAAGAGGCGCCCAAACCGCCTCCAAGAGGCCCCCGAGAGGCTCCCCACGACACCCCAACACACATAGAAGAGGCCTCAGACCCACAAACCAGGCACAGTGGCGGGAGGGGCCGACGGCCACTAGGATGCGCCGCCCCCTGTTGGCTTGCCACAGAGGTGCCCGGCGTGCTAAACCCTATCCTCTTGGTATGGTTTTTTCCCAAAAGAACTGTCCCCTGGGGCTTCGGCCCGTCCCGCCAGCCCTGCGGAAGACCCGGTTGCAAAGGTTTCCCTGCCCCAGACGGCTCTAATATGGCCTACATGGCCTCCAAGACGGCCAAGATTGCCCACAAGTTCGCCCAAGAAGATCCAAAATAATCTCCAAGACAGCCCGAGAGAGTTCCAGGTAGCTCCAAGTCCGCCCAAGCAGCCCTCCAAAACAGTCCAGGAGGCCTCCAAGACGGCCCAAGAGGCCTCCAAGGGGACCTCCAGGAATTCCCGAAGAGGCCAAAATCGTTGATTGTCCTTAGGCTTTTGAAGGACTTCGGCATTTGCTTCTTCTCGGCCTTCCGACGGCTCGAGACGGCCCAAGAGCCCAAAGATCGCCACAAGATCACCTAAGAGGCCGTCAGGGCCGTTCGCTCCTCGTGGCGGCTGACAGCAGACAGCCAGTACCCGAGGCCTAGAGGTTGACACCAACACCAGTACCAGGGGTCGGCCGCGACCGAGGGAAGATGGTCCTGATCCCGGTGATGGTGGTAACATCTGGGCTTCGTAGGTGGTCGAGAGATTGCCACCAACAACAGAATCTAGGATCGTCATCCACTGGTGAGCGCAACCCCCTGTTTTGGTGTCGGTGTCCATTTCCAAACCTCCAGCAGTACCTCGCGCCCTGGCAAGCCAGGGCGTTCTGGAGAGCTTTTTGGGTCTCGATCGTTCTCTGGATTGTGCTGCGGCTAGGAATGATCTGGACGGGAGTGATGAAAGTTCAGGCGGTGGTGGTTGTGGTCCCCGTCCTTCTTCTTGAATGGCAGTCTGGGTCCCATTACCGCGTCTTGGGGGCCTCTCTGGGCCGAGTGGGTGCCCTCTTGGGGTGTGCCAGGGCCGTCTTGGCCATCTTGGGCGTCTTGAAGGCCTCTTGGGCCGTCTGGGGGTCCTGGGGCCGTCTTGGAGGCCTCTTGGGCCGTTCTGGGGCCATCCTGGAGGCCTCTTGGGCGATCTTTCTGGGCTCTTGGGCCGTCTCGCGCCGTCGAAGGCCGAAAAGAAGCAAATGACAACGGGAAATCAGCGACTTTGGCCTCTTCAGGCCTTCCTGGAGCCTCTTGGAGGCCTTATTGGGCCTTCTTGGACACCTCTTGTGGGCATCTTGGGCCGTCTTGGGCCATCTTAGAGCCATCTTGGCCCGTCTTGGTGGGCTCCTGGCCCGTCGGATCCCGTCGGCAGTTGCCTTGGGGGCCTCTCTGGGCCGACTGGGGGCCTTGTTGGGGTGTTCCAGGGCCGTCTTGGAGGCCATCTTGGGCGTCTTGGAGGCCTCTTGGGTCCTCTGGGACCCTCCTGGGGCCGTCTTGGGGGCCTCTGGGGTCGTTCTTTGGCCGTCTTGGCCCTCGCGCCGAGCCAGCACAGGTCCTGCGTGTAGACCACCGGCCGGGCGCAGCAGCCGCCCCTCGGTGGCTCCTGCAGCATGCGCCCCGGCGGCCCCCGTGGCCGATGCTGCAGGTGCACTGCTGAGCGAGCCTTGAGCAAAAAATGGCTGTCGATGATCCTCCGAACGTGTGCCAGCGGCAAAAAATGGCTGCCGATGATTCTCAGAGCGTGTGTCAGCGCCAACGTGTGTTTGCCCACTGAGGCCCTTCGCTACGACGACGGCGATCTGATGATCGACTGGCTGGGTTGAACAGGGGAAACACACATTGGGCTAACACACATCCTGAGGATGATCGAGGCTACTACGGAAAGATTCTTACTTGGCCTGACAAGTGATTACACGGGTCCGCCGGGGGCCTGGTGGGCGCCAGTGGGCGACTGGTCGGCCGCCCCGTGCGCTGGCTAGGTCCGCCGAGGTTCCGCACGGTGGGCCCCCGCGAGGGGTCCGCTGCAGACTGCACCCCTGGCCTCACAGCCTGCACCACACGGGCTGCACCTCGTAGATTGCACATCAGGGTTGCGGCCGGCAGGGCGCGCCCCGAAGTAGTCCAGGAGCTGCAGGCCACGCAGGTCGCCCTTGTAGGCGGCCCAGTGGGCGGCGGTGCACCCGTTGTTGTCCTTCTCGCCGAGGATTGCGTCCCTCGGCCGGAGGACAGAGAAGAGGATTTCGCCCCCCCCTCCTGCTCCCCTCCCTCCCGTCCTCCATCCCTCCCTCAACCTGCCTCCCTCCATCCCTCCGTCCATCCCTACCCCCCTCCCCTCCTCCTCTCACTCATTTCCTCCTCCCATGTTTCCTCTCCCTCTCCCTCACTCCATCCTCCCTGAAGCCGTGCTGCCCCCTCCCACCTCTTGTCCCCTCCCGCCTCCTGCCTCCTCCCCCCTCTTCCATATCATCCTTTCTCCTCCGCCTCCTCCTCCTCCTCCTCATCCTCCTCCTCCTCATCCTCCTCAACCTCAACCTCTTCTCCTTCTCCTCCTCATCCTCCTCATCCTCCTCCTGTTCATCATCATCATCATCACCATCATCATCATCATCATCATCATCATCATCACCATCACCATCATCATCATCATCATCAGCATCAGCATCATCATCATCATCATCATCATCATCATCATCATCATCATCATCATCATCATCATCATCATCATCATCATCATCATCATCATCATCATCATCCTCACCCTCCTCAACCTCAACTCCTCCTCCTCCTCCTCCTCCTCCTCCTCCTCCTCCTCCTCCTCCCCTGCTCCTGCTCATCCTCATCCTCATCCTCATCCACATCCTCATCATCCTTCACCCTCCTGAACCTCCAGCCCCGGATCGAAGACCATGGTCTGAGCGCAGCTCCGAGGTGCCCACTCCCGAGGTACTGCTGGTAAATCCCACCAGCCCTTTAGGGCGTGATTGGTTTTGGGCGGTTCTTCTTCCAACCCCCCTTCTCCCCCTTCCCCCGCTTTCCCCCTCCACCTGGGACGGGAAGGGTCGCGAGCAGTTAGAGCGTCCAGGATGGCCTCGCCGAGAAGGCACACATCAGTGAATTTACCGAGGGTTTGGCCACACACTGGCCTCATGGGGCGGGGTGGGGAGGGGGGGCAACGCTAATCTACTTCGGCCCCTCCCTTGATCGATCCCCTCCAAGATGGCCCGAAGAAGGCCTCCAAGGCTCCCAAGGGTGCCCCAAGACGGCCCCAAAAGGCGCACAAGACCCAGGAAGCCCCAAGGGGCCCCCAAGAGGCCCCCACGAGTCCTTTAAGAGGCTCCCAAAAGACCCCCAAGAAGCCGAAGAGGCCGCCCAGGGGCATAAACGACGCCCCAAGAGGACTCGGCGAGAAGGCCAAAATCACTGGTGTGACTCAAGTGTTGGCCACATGTTGGCCTCCTGGGAAGTGTGTGCTAATCCCACCAGCCCTCTGGACGCGAGTGGTTAGAGCGTTTCCTTTTCCAACCCCCCTGCGTCCCCCTCGGGAAAGAAGTCACCCCTCTCCCGACCACCCCCCATGGGTCTGGAGTGGGGGCGGCGAAGGGTTGGGCCATCCAAGACGGCCTCGGCGATACGTCAAACATCACTGATTGTACTAAGATCTTGGCCACACGTTGGCCTCCTGGGGGGGGGGATTACAGCCCCTCCTTCAGGATGACTCCAAGATGGACCCCGCTGCTGCCAAGAATGCCTTCAGGGGGCCCGAAGGGGCGACCAAGAAGCCCCAACAGGCCCCAAAGATGCCCCCCTCTCCCTCCCCGAGGTACCCAAAACGCTTCAAGAAACCCTCGGGCCCGCCACGAGGCACCCAAAAGGTCCCAAGAGGCCGCCCCGAAAGACCCCAAGAGGCCGACAAGAAGATTGCAAGAGACACCTGGAGAAACTCCGAGAGTTAGACTGGGTCGATTATGGCAAACACGACCGCACTGGAATCTCCAAAAAAAACTTCCAGTGAATCCCTGCGAATCTCCAATATCCAAAACATCGTCCCGCGAAACTCAAACAAAAATCACGTCTGAAAAACCGTCTGGCGAATCTCAAAAAATCCCCGCGCCTAAAAATGTTCCGGCGGATCTACAGAAAATGTTCGCGCTCGTTGAGGAACATCCGACGAAATCTCCGACGGACAACTTCTGATATTTGCTAGAGATTTCCCAAACATTGTTTGCAAATTTCTGCACGCCAAAGATTTCACGGAGACTTACCGGAAATAGATTTTACAGGAGATGTTCCAGAAATTTCTGCACGCCAGAAACGTTCCGGAGATTTCCCCAGAGATTTCCAAGGCCTGGAGATTTTCCGCTGATTTCCTCGGCGATATTAGGCCCCGAAGATTTGTCCAGAGATTCTGGGGCTGTCCAAATTCAATCTGGAGATTTCCCTGGATACTTTTGTCTGGAGACTTTTCATCCAGAGATCCCTGGTCGCGCTTGCCATATTGACCCCATCTAGTCCGAAAGGCATCCAAGAGGCTTTGTCTCCAATGGTGTGCTGACCGAGAGGTTTCTGAGGAAACTCAAAACCATGCGATCCTGGCCCACCGCTCCGCCTCGCCGTGGCGCGAGCTTGAGCGGCCAGGGGGGGCTATCGTGAAAACCCGCGGCCCGGGAAGGTCACCCCTTAACACCTGCCTCCCCCGCCACGAAAACATGCGACGGACGGCCGCAGCAACAGTCGCAGGGGGCCCGCGCAGTGCGCCACACACACACACACACACTAAGCATACTAAGCACACTACCCTGGGCAAGGTTGTTTGGATGATCGTAGTGATGCGCAGAGGGCAGGGGCTGGCGCTCGCGAACATGTAAACGCAAAGGGGAGAGAGAGAGAGAGACAAAAAAAAAAAAAAAAAAAAAGAGTGAGAGAGACAAAACAAAACAAAAAACGAGAGAGAGAGAGAGAATCAAATTCCAACTCATACTTCGGGATGTTCTGGGCCATCTCAGGGTGGAGCTTGGCCCCATCGCTCGCGTGCACGTCGGCTGTCGTTTCCAAGTCTGCGTCGCCCAGCTGCCCCAAGTGCCCCGTCACACACATGAGCTTTCACCTCGCGCAAGTGTCAGTCAGGGAACTCGCGGTAGAAGAATCTTCCACGCCTCATTGGGCGGCGAGTTCCCGCTCGCGGAGGCCCGAACGCCCTGTGGACCTGAAAAGGGCCTGGCAGTCAACGCGCAACCTCAGCCTACCTTCACCTGGTTCAGCAATGCTCGGCAACCACGGCACACCGCCCCTCCCCCCCACCCACACACACACACACACACACACACATACACACACACTATATATATGTATATGTGCGTGTTAGAAGGAGGCTGCAACGAACAGCTGTAACCAACACTCCTGAACCGTTGGTTTGAACCAGAGCCCAGCCTCTCACGGGCCACGCACGCGCGGGCGGGGGCATGGCAGTTAACATCGGAATACAACAAATCGCTGGACTGAAACCTGAACTTACTGATCTCACCCGAGCTATCGAAATATGCGACGATCGCATCCCGCGCTGCATCTGTGGCATCACCTGGGTTGGGCAACCAAAGACAAGAAAAGGATGAGTCGTCCTCGCCCGCCACCAGCGCCCCGCGGACTTGCTCGTCTGCTAAGTGTCCACCCCCCCACCTGCCCCAGGCAAGGGCAGACGAAGCACCCGCGCCACGCGGAGTCCTGAAATCCCCCCTGAGGCAAGCGGCAAGAAGAGCAATCAAACTGGCCACCGTGCATCCAGTCGCGCAGCTTCTGCGCAGCGACATTGGACCTTCAAAACACGCCCCTCGCAACTTATCGGATGTTCTCGGGGCGCTTCTTGCTGGCTCAAAAACTGTTCGACGGATCCGCCCAGAGCCCCGTCCAGGACTGTTTTGGCCCTCGGGTGCTCTGAATCTCTCATGAGTCTGGCCATGCTTTGCCCCGCTTAATTACGAAGCAGATCTCTAGCGGCATGCTCCTCAACCTGGCAGACAGCAACAGCGGGTCGCCGTTGCCCGCGTTCAACATGCAAGGGCCACGCGATGACCAGCTCGCCAGCGAAGGCCACAGCAACGCGTCCCGAGCAAGCCCCCAAGACTTGCGCACCCAAGAAGACGCCCGGCGACCCAGAGTGCACCTCGGAGCCCGATGGAGGATCCTGGAAAGCTCCCCCACAGAGGGCCCACCGCCCTCTCCATGTCGAGGGGGCGCCGGCCGCCCTTCGGGCGCCAGCGCCAGATTCGGATCGGCCCCGCACGCGGCGAGCCCGGGAAGCCCAGCAGCATGGGAACTCGGTCTCCTGATCTCCCTCGGGGCCCAGCCCGCCACCCCCCCCGCGCGCGGCGGCGCGTCGGACCCCGCAAGCACCAAATCTCACGTCCGGCTCGTCCAGGACACAATCTTCGGGAGCGGCCAAGAGGGGGGTGTCCAAGAGGGGGAGGCGCAAATCATGACCGGCGGCATGTGCGCGGCCCTTCGGGGGGGCCAGAGACGTAATGAAATAAGAAAAGGCGCCATGAAATCTGGGGAAATATCATGGCCCCCGCCATGATATCCACCCCCCCTAGTCATCACCCCCCTCTGTTCCGCCCCCGAAATCTTACCGAGATGTTTCCTGCCCTCTGCCAACCCCCCCGTGTCGCTCCTGACTTGCTCCAGCAACCTTCGAAGGCCTGCCTCCTGGTGCAAAGCCGCAGACCACATTCCAAAAAAATGGCTCGTGCGGGCTGGCAGTACCTTGCGCGCAAGTCGAGCCTCCTCGCGCAGCCCTGGAGGCGCGCCCGCAGAGCGAAACTGCTGCGCGGCAAGCCTGTGGCTGGAGAGGTCCGAGAGCGGGCCCGCCAGAAACGCGACGACAAGACCAAAGTCATCACGCGTGAATATGCACCCTTGTGTCTCTTGATTGAGCAAGGGGCGACCACCCAGGCATTCCTCTAGGCCTACCTCGACATGTTCCCACAACCAGAAATATGCCAAGAACAGATACCATGTTCTCAAAATTTAGACCCAGCGCGCTAAAACAATGCAGTCTCTGTCAGAAAAGTTCCTAGGATCATGTGGCGCAAGCCACAAGAAATTCCTAAAACACTCCTTGGTGGGCCTATAGGCAAGCCGGGACGCTTCGCCACTACTTGACATGTTGAGACTGACATCATCAACCGGCACCGCCAGACAGGGTGGAAAGCCGGCACTC